TACTAGGAACACTCAATCTATCATGAAACCTGAACAACTCATATGTAGAAACTCAAAACTGTGAATTTAAACCATGTTTTGTATCATTTCTGAGAGCTGTTAGAGTGAAATCGGCCAGCTAAGCTTCCCTTATTCTCTAAATTAATTCAAGTGGGACTGCTAAGTAAGCTAGACATATGACCATCTTTAAGTCTTGAAGTTGTATATGTTGTGTGACCTTTATCATCCTGCACTCAGAGACCATTATGTAAGCTAACATACATATATTCTTCTTGTTAAGAGTATCGACTACCATATTACCCTTATTCAGGTGGTACAAGATCTTACAATCGTAATCCTTAAGGAGTTATATCCAATGCCTTTAATACCTGGAGAGGTCCTTGTAGGTCGATATATATTTTAACCTTATATAGTGTATATAGATTTCAAATATTTCCTCATATAGGTAATGACGTCAGCTTTTTAAGGCGTAAATAATGGTGGCAAGCTCCAAATAATGGTTTAATCATCCCACCCAAAATCTCTGGACAATTATAGCGAACTTCAAAACAGAGCTTTAATAGGATCCCACTTTTGGGCTTACTCATAAACTCAGTTTTCTGAATTTTTATATCCATTTTTGTAACCAGCTTAATTAATTAAAATATCTAGTACTGTAAACACGATAAGAACAATTATAAATAGGAGCTAACAAGAAGAAATGCAAGACAAACATCTAGTTTACAATGGCAAATTTTCTTACCTGTAGCTTGCTTTTGCTGCTAATGTTCTCATTTTCTTTCCATACAGAGTCAAAATATTCTCGCCGGGTGAGATAAATGCTAGTGATGAGACAACGTCTACTATGAGTATTTCGTATACTACGTGTCTATAGATTTTATTAATACCTATTTGAGGTTATATATATAGGTCTACCTTGTCTATATGAAAGGTGGGTTTGCTGGTAAATCTGCAACAAGGTCTGTTCATTTGGAAGTTTTTGAGGAAGTTCTTGATGAGGACAGGTAGCTATATTATATGTTTTATATTCTTAATCAATTAGATTTGTTTATTGTAATGACTTATTAATTATACTGGTTATAATAGTATCTATCCAAATTAGCAGACCTTGTAATGGCCCCGGAAATTTAAAATGAAATGTGTATTAAAAATATCAAATGCGGAAGCGAAGTCAAAATTTCGATTAACATCCCTTACACTAAAACCAAAAAACGTGCTCACAAAATATAAAAGGTCAAACTAAATAAAGGAGAACTCGAAAGTAAAAGCTATGAATATGACTATGGAGTCTTTAGGCGTCCCCTTCGTCGTCCTCCTGCGGAACGGGCTCGGGAACAATGTCTTCCTGATCTGAAATGATTAAATAAGGAATGAGCTACACTACCCCAGTAAAGACATCACGATATCTCACCGTCACGGAGGTAAAGGTGGGTAGAAAATACAAAAGACCAATGGAGCATAATTTACAACAAATTCTTTTGCCAATAATAAATCCTTTACCATCCACTTACCTCGGTGAAATTCATAAAACAATATACGAAAGCAATAACATTATCATCATCATGAAATCATATAAACTGTATAACATAATACTTATCACGCCTTTTGTAATTCAATCATTACACAATATATTTTCCTCATTTACCAGCCTACTAGTATCCATGGAGATCCATAGGGGTCTCGCTACCCGTTAACCCTTAACACTTGAAACCAGATTCCAGGGCCGTCCCCATACCCCGTTCGGTATGGGCGCCAAAATTATAAACCTCATTACCCCATCCGGTATGAGGGTGAAACGGGTCGTCCCCATACCCTGTCCGGTATGGGCGCCAAAACACATAAGGTCTCCATACCCCGTCCGGTATGAGAGACCACCATCCCGGTAGGGTTCCCTACGGACCCGGTCCGTCCACCATCTCCCAGGATATCTAGTCAGGCTGACCACATTATACAATTATCAATTTACATAATCTTTCATTCTCCTTTTCCTCAGTCAGCATGATCAATTTACATACAAACAAGCAAACAGTAATTTATGCCAAACAAGACAACATACAGCATCGGTTTCTCAGTCATTCAACCCATAATCAATAAAATAGTAAAATATGCACGCGAAACAATGAAATGAAAACATCATACCTCATACTGCATTTAAAACTCTAAAATATGCCAAATAACAGTTAACCGACAAACACACTAGACTCGGGCTCCATTAGCGACCTTAAGTAATTTCACACATTCGTTGATTCAAGAAGTACCGTTTTATCATTATTGAACTTTAATACCGTGATAGGAAATAGGGTGAGGGGTCCTTACTCGTTTCGGGGTCCAAACACGGCTTCACAATGCGCCTACAGGCTGTCCCTAATTTTCCCTGAATTTTTTCCGGGGAACTGAAACGCACTACTGGTACCTGCACGTGTTCCAAAAAATCCCAAATTAGGCCCAGGGCCACTTTTTGGCCAATATCGCAATTCCGGCCGGAGCACGGAGCCGCCGTGCTCCGGCGACGACGCCGCCGTTTGCGACGGCGATTCGCCTTGGGTTGGCCGTTTTCGGCCGAATTCGGCCAACTTGCATCGGTCCTTACGATAAAACAACCCTAGGGCCCTCGGGGGGCCAAAAAATTACAGAAAATCGAAGCTTACCGGCGGCAGTGCTCTCGGGTGCGGCGGCTCTCCGGTGAGGTTCGTGTTTTGGTGATTCGGCTCCGATCAACCTGTAGAGAAAAGAATGGTGATCACGGTGATATAAAAATTGCATCAAACGGAGGCCGGGAAGGGCCTCATCGGAGGCAAAAACCGAGGAGGGACGCGGCGGCGCCGCTGGGTTTCGGCCGTGTTTTTCTGCCGTTTGGCCGGGATTTTGGCTCCGATTTGGCCACAAGGGAAATCAGCGTGGAAAAACGAGTCGAGAGTATGAAATTTACCTCGATCGGAGGTCGGAAATCTCCCCGATGCGGCGGCCGGCTTCTCCGGCGTCTGGTTCGTCTTCTCCGGCGAGGGCAGGCGGTTAGGGTTTTTGTGGTCAAGTGTGGGGGTTCTATTTATACCCTTTTTCCTTTTGATCTCAGCCGTCCATTTTGATTTAATCTGGGCCGTCCGTTTTTGATTGAATCTAGACCATCCGTGCGATTGCATCTGGGTCGTCCGTGCGCACGCTTGATCTGAGCCGTCCGATCGCGCGTACGCGGATCGCCAACGTGGCCAGTCCCCGGTCGACATGGTCTTGCCACGTGGCAGGTCCTGGTTGGCCAGGACTGCTGACTGGGTCTGCTGACGTGGCGCGCTCTTTTTTTTTTAACTTAATAAAAATATTTAATAATAATAAAATAACAAATTTTTCGGGCGTTACAGACCTTGTTGCATATTTACCAGCAGAGCCACCTTTCATATGGACAAGGTAGACCAATATATATAACCTCAAATAGATATTAATAAAATCTATATACACATATTATACAAAATACATATAATAGACGTTGCTCATCACCAGCGAGAATTTTTTGACTCCGCATGGAAGGAAAATGAGAATATTTGCAACAAAAACTAGCTACAGGCAGTAAAACTTGCCATTGTAAACTGGATGAGGACAGGTGGCTATATTATATGTTTTAAACTCTTAATCAATTAGATTTGTTTATTTTAATGACTTATTAATTGTATTGGTTATAATAGTAACTTTCCACCAAAAAACTTTGCAAGAGCAGCGCAGTTTCCCAATCACATGTTTATAGCTACAAAGAAGCCTTCACCGGCTTCGCAGCCAAACTCACCGAAGAAGAAAAGGAAAACTTGGCTAGTAAGTGATGGGTTTGGGTTTCCTCTTATGTGAAAAAATTTGAATCTTTTCGAACCCATTTATTTTATCCCATTAGGATTATTAGGGTTTTTATAATATACATTTTTAACCTAATGAACAATAGAAACAAATTTTCAGCCATCAAAAAAGAAAGAACAAAAAAAAAAAATTTTGCTGAAAAATTACATTCAACCTATTTCAGTTTTTTCCACAAACAGATAACTATTTTTATTTGGATCAGCCTAAAATTTGATGTGTAATTAGAAAACTCATTTTTCTTCATTCAAAACAAGTGGAGATCGATTTTGAACAGTTGGATTTCCAGTATTTTCAGTTCGAAATTACCATTCATGTTTTTTCGTCTCACAACGACTAGTTTGACTTTATCTGACTTTCGGACGGTTATTTGTGATCTGATGAGGTCAAAATTTGATGAGTATGTTCGGGATAAATTTTTCTTTAATCTAGACGGTGGAGATTGGATTTGAACGATCAAAACTCATCCATTTTGCATAAAAAGTAGCTATTTTTTGTGATATTTCTCTATTTCTTTGTTTACCTCTTATTGTTTGGTTGATTTATTGTTGAGACTTTACTTGAGTATTATTATTTACAGCAACTAGGAGCTATCACAATAATTTTCAAATAAAGTTTCAACAACAAATCAAATATAAACAAGGGAATAGAGAAATATCACCAAAAACAGCTATTATTCATACAAAATGGATGCGTTTTGACCGTTTAAATTAAAGAATAACTTATCCCAAACATGTTTACTAAATTTCAGCCTCATCCTACCACAATGATCATCCGATCGTTAGAGAAAATCAAACTAGTCGTTGCAGAAAATAAAAAATGTAAATAGTAACTCTGAAGTAAAAATACCGGAAATCCAACTGTCCAAAATCGATCTCTACTATTTAAAATGAAGAACAATGAGTCTTTTAAATATTTACCAAACTTCCGACCGATCTGACTAAAGATGACCGTCTGATAACGGAAAGAATTAAAACAGGATGAATGTAATTTTTCAGTAAAAATTCTCTTTTTTGTTCTCTTTCATTTTTGGTAGCTGAAAATTTTTTTATGTTATTAATACTCAAAATTAAAATGACATATTATAAAAATTTTAATAATTCTAATGAGTCAGAAATAAATATATTAAAAAATATTTGAATTTTTTTACGTAATAAGGAACCCAACAGCAAGCATGTTACATACATTAACACTTGAATTTGGTAGCTGTTCCTATTCTGGTTTAAATTTATTTTGTATATACTAAGTACAGCAAGTCTTTTTTAATATACATTTAAAATAATTAGTCTTAATTAATTTTTCTGATTAGATGACTGGTACATTCTTTTCTATCTATGAAGTGTGGATTCGAATTGTATTATACATATTATATGGTATTATTAAAATGTTATGTGAGATAAGTCCCTTTATTTACCAGAGACAAAATAATTTGCAGGAATGGACAATGTAGTGGCTGTTTTTCCTAGCAGGAGCTTCCAGCTTCAGACAACCAGATCATGGGACTTCTTAGGGTTCTCCACCACTACAAAACGGCTACCTGAGTGCGAGAGCGACCTGATTGTAGGTGTCTTTGACACCGGAATTTGGCCCGAATCTGAGAGTTTCAAAGATGGAGGGTTTGGTCCTCCTAGGAAATGGAAGGGAATCTGCCAAAACATAACTTGTTACAAGTAAAACTCAACCAAACTTACAAACATGTGCATCCAGTTTCCAATTTTAAATTCTTCTGTTCTTTAGCATATTTTATCAAAGATTAACATAAGTTTACGATATCTAGTAACTTTTCCTGTACAGGATAACCCAATTTTGTTGGAATGAAATAATTATCACATTATGTACATGGATTTTTTGTTGAGAAAATTGCAGCAAACTCGTTGGAGCCAGGTTCTACTACACTGGAGATATATCTTTGGCTGAGGAAAGAACGATCGTTGACATTGATGGACGTGGAACTCATACAGCTTCTTTGGACTTGCAAAAGGGACGGCTAGAGGTGCAGTTCCGTCAGCTATAATTGCAGCGTACAAGGTTTGGTGGAAAACAATTGCTCATGACACATGTGAAGAACAGGATTTTCTAGCGGCTTTGGAGGATGCAATCAATGATGGAGCGGACATGATATCGATTTCAATTGGTTCGAATGAGACCCACCCGTCTTTTAAGGACACCCTTGCTGTAGGAGCTTTTCGAGCCATGAAAAGGGGCATATTGACATCTGCTGCTGCAGGAAATTCTGGTCCTGCTCCATCAACAGTAAAAAATGTAGCACCCTGGATTTTGACTGTTACAGCTAGCAACAATTGACAGGAAACTAGTGGCCAAGGTGGAGCTCGGAAATGGACAAACATTTATTGTACGTGTACCAATATATCAAACTTTTGGAATAATTGGTATCTGTTAATTCACCATGATATCAGAGTCTGATATTTAAAACTATATTTTGATGCTGAACCTCACATCCATAATTTGGGAGAAGACGGCAATCACAGCCATCTCATTGACAATTCAACAAAAGGAAAGAATATATTTGCAGATGATGGTGCTGCTCAAGGAGTAATTTCCTCTACCTGGTGCCTGCACGTCCACAAGGGATGGTGAACGAGTAAAGAATTATACAGAAAAAACCAAGTAAGAAGAGATTAGAAAACTTGTGTTGAATATATTTGTTGGTATAAGAAATTTTTGATTTTGAACGGAAATCCAACTGGGAAAATACATCAAACCATAGGCATTCATGATCCAACAGCTCCCATCTCACATGATTAAATGTTTTTTTTTTTTTTTTTTTTTTAAATTACGTAATCATATTTCAATAGTTTTTTATCTTATTTTTTTCTTGTAACTTTAAAATTAATATTTATTCATGATTTTGACTATACCTAATCTACATAGCACTTTCACCTCCTACACCACTTGTAACCTCTGATCAAACATCTGTAACTCCCCAAAAATTTACAGTCGGTGGTTAAATAGTCTTAATTAATATACCATTAATTTCTTTCATTAAAAACAAAATTAAACCTCACTATAAAATGCAACGACAAAGGCTAAGTCTTTCATACTAAAATTTTTTTAAAAAATTTATTTTCTAACTTTTACATAATGAGCAAGTCAGATCAATTTCTAATTATGCTTTTATCTGTTTCTCTTTTCAGTAGCAGTTGTTATGCAGAAGATCAAGATCGTAAGGTATTATATATGATTTTTTATATTATTAATATTATATGTTTATAATTATTTACACACAGAAATTATGCAGGTTTATATGATATATGTTGATGCCTCTCTTTATACCAAGACTGCTAAACTTAGTCTGCTTGCCAAGGTGCTTGAAGGAAGGTAATTTATAAGCTTATAAATTATTTACATGTTTGATGTATTTAGAAATGTTAAAATGTAACGACAGTACAGTTTGTTAATGTTATTTAATTGTATAATTTTTTACTTATATGAAAAGAATAATTATATTTTTAAAAAAAAAAATTATATTTTTGCAGCACTCCGGAAGAATCTCTAATTTATACATATAAGAGTTCATCAGGAATATTTGCAGCAAAACTTACGGATAAGGAAGTTAACAAACTGAGAAGTAAGTGTTTATGTACATATTTATATACATAATTTTCACCAATTAAATTTTACCCAAGTTAGAGAAAACTTGATTGCAGGTTTAAAAGGTGTTCTGTATGCTATCCCTAGCAGAACTTATAGGCTTCACCAAGGACTGGCTCCACCCAGCGGCAATGAAGAAGCTAACGACCTTCATGCTCCCGATGATACTTCGGCTCCAGCCAATTACTGATATAATTTATTCATGCAGTAAAAATCAACATAATATTAACAAAAGGAACCATGTCTTCATTTGAGTGGTATAACCTTAAAGTATTAGTGTATAATTTGATAATCAAAATATTAATTGACAACATATAACTAAACAATATTATAATGGTTTGGCTCAGTTTAAATTGATTTAAATTATATTATTATTATTCATAAATCATATATATATATATATATACATATATATATATATATATGTAGAGTGTGTACGAAGAAAAGAGAAAAGTAGAACCATTGTAATACTTCGTGACTAAACACTAAACACTGTTAATCCAATAAATTTTCAAACTTAAACCATTAGCTTTTAAAAATTTACGATCAAATTATTTATATTGCTTCACATTGTGACTCATATTCGAATCAAATTCTGATATCAGTCATAGAAACTAAATTGAAAACTATCAGTAATTGTCAAAGTTGAAACATAAATTATCTAATTTAATAGAATATATTTGAAACAAGGCTAAAATAAAGACACAAAACAAAGAAATATAGAGATGTTTATACATGGCCTATATGCTTATATATGTGTATGTGTGTGACCGACCTAAAGATAGAGGAAAAAAAATTTTCACCACCTTGCTTCGCAGCCATTGTGAAGGCTCAAACCCTTATTAGAGATTCTGATAATATAACTGAGAAATAATAGAATAAAATAGTACTTAAATTTATAATTTAGCGCAAGTAGTTTAAAGTTTAGTGTTACATTCCTTTCACAGTTTATTTAAAATATTCAATAAGCCTATGAGAATGTCTTTAAAACTTTAAATGAAAAGAAAACAACATAAGAGGAAACAAATCTGATTAATCTCTACTCGAAATTGATGAAGCAGAAGATGTAACCCCTTAACTAGTTTCTTACTGTTCAGGATTCGGGTCTTAGCTGTCCTGATCTAAAATAATTAATAATAAAAAGAGTTAGCTATATTAACTCAGTAAGAATATTAACGTCTTACCACTGATACGGAAAGTTAAAAGATTGTAAAAAGTATAAAACAACCAATAGAACTCATTTTTAATAAAATTCGAATATTAGTGCGTTCATTATTCATTTTACTGAAAATGTTAATACCTTCTGAATTCACTTGTAAATTCTTAAATATCATTTATTAAGATAAAAGTCATATCAACAATTTACAATGTGCATTCTAAAAGACATATGACAGTTAACCTTACACTATTTTTAAAACTGGATTCCTACCATATTCATCTTTACTATTTTACCTATTTACTGGTGTCACTGGGGATCCATAGGGATTCTATTACACGTGGACACGAACATTCATTCTATAATCAAATGGTCATCCCTATACCTTGACTAGTAATGGGCGCTAAAACACACAATCGCCTTAATACCTCGTTCGGTATGAGCATTATTAAAATAATTCTCAACCCCTTCCAGTATGAGGCTTCTCAGCCTTATACGACTGAGGGTAACGTCCACGGTAGGATTCACTCTATGCATCAAGTTCGTACATTCTTTTCCAAAACACTCAGTAAGCCATTTCATTCAACATCATTAATTCACATATATATATTTTTTTATTTATCATTTCACCTTAAGAGACATGTTTATCTGTATTTCAAACACCACATGAGTAATAAATTCACATTTTATGCTACGTACGTAAAATAAACATTCATTATACTGACAGAAATATTTTATGCACACAATAGAATGACAGGACAATATATATTAAGAGACCTTGCCACGGCCGCCGTAGAATTAAAATAAATGCATTAAAGTATGCACTATAGTGAATAGAATAACATAATAAACAAATGTAGAAATAATTACTGCAATTAGAACTCAAACAGGCATAAACTGACCGATTACTTGCTCCATTGGAAACCTATACTTTAATTAATTAGAGGATCGCAGATTAACTAAATTTTCCATTTATTTAACAATTTAGCTTCAGTTTTACCATAACAAAAAAAAGGATGAGGGATTCTTACTCTAGGTCAGTGTCCAGAACACTACCTTTTTCACTACAGTTCTTGGTGGTTTCCAATTCTTGGATTTTTAGAGTTTTTCCTGCTAAGATCGAAACATTCGTCAAAATAGCATGAAAATACACGAGAAACGGCAAAAAAAGGCAAAAAATCTCACTAGGGGGTCGGGTTGGGGTTCGACGCGATGGTGCCGCCGTGCTCCACTGTCGGTTCCTTTTTCTATGGCGGGTCCTCTCGATCAAGATATTTTCGGCCGGTTCCCAGTAAAAACCTATTTAAATCATGGTTAGGAGGTGTCTATTAGTGGAAAGAGGAGAAAAATCGAGGTTTATTGATATTTTTTGTTCTCCAACGCGGCAACTCGGCCGAGCTCTGTATTTCCCTCTTCGCAGTTTGTAGCTTTTTTGGTCACCCTGTATTGAAAATAAGTTATACGGTTAAAGGGAGAGGGAAACAGAATGAATGGGAAGAGATGCGACTTACCGGAGCATTTTTCGGTCTCTGGTGCGGCAGCTCAACCGAGCTTCGTCATTTCTTTCCTCGTGGTTCACGGTCGTTCTCGACTCTGCTACAATGAAAAAAAAGTTATACGGCTAGGGTGGAGGAATGGGAGAAAATAGGAAGAAAAACTGCACTCACAATGCGTTTTGGGTCTCCGGTGCGGCGGCACCGGTGGCTAGTTTCTCCTCTGGCCGCCTTTCTTCATTTTCTTCGATGAGTGGGTGTCAATTAGGGTTAGGATTTTGGTTTGGAAGAGATGCTTAAATACCCCCTCCCCTCGATCTAGGTCGTCAATTCGGGCCCGCGTGGAGCCTGCTCAACCAACCGATCACGTTTATTAAGAAAAAAGATCTGGGTCGTTCGATCAAAAACGTGTGGGCCATCCAATCACACTTATTCAGGAAGTCAATCTAGGTCGTTCGTGCATGCAGGAGTGAGCATGAGCCGTTGGATCACCCAGGCACGCAAATCACCACCGTGGAGCCCCTGTCAGCGTTTCCGTCACGCGGCGCGTTCTGACTCATTGTGCTACTAACATGATCGTCCTACGTGGTCATATTTTTTTTTTTTTTTACAATTTGGCCCCTATTTCTAAACTTTTCTTTTAAATATACTATCTCCTTATTTATAATAGTGTCCTAACTTCTAAAAATTGTTTTAAAAACATCCAAAATCTAAATTTATCATTAAAAAAATTAAAATTAACTCTTTTTATTATTATTAAAAAAATTAAATGACGTCATCTTGATCCTAAATTTTGGGCCCAGGATATTACAACTCTCCCCCCTTAAGAATTCGATCTCTCAAATTGCTGCCCTCTAGTCAAATAATTGAGGATGCTTAATCCTAAAGTCTGATTCTAACTCTCAAGTGGCTTTGTCTTGCGAGTGATTTTGCCATAGAACTTTGATAAATAGGATTTCTCTGTTGCGAAGCATTCTGCTCTTTCGGTTCAAAATATTAATCGGTACTTTCTCATAAGATAAATCCTTCTAAAGTGGAAGTGGCTTGTAAGACAAAACATATGAGGGGTCAGGGCTATACTTGCACAACATCGACACATAGAAGACGTTATAGACTCTAGATAGTTCTAGAGATAGTGCTAGCCTATAAGCGGATATCCTAATCTTGTCCAAAATTTCAAATGGCCCGATGAACTGTGGATTCAACTTTTTCTTCTTTCCAAACCTAATGATGCCCTTAAAGGGGGTGACCTTAAGGAATACTTTATTGCTTTTTTCAAATTTCAAATCTCTCATTTGGGTATCCACATAACTTTTCTATCTACTCTGGGCCGTTTGAATGTCTTTCCTGATTTTGGCAATCCTCATTATGGTCTCATCTACAAGATCTAAGCCAATCAGTTTTCTGTCAATCACTTCTTTCTAACATATTGGTGACCTACAGAGTCAGTCATACAATGCCTTATACAGAGCCATATCAATACTTACTTGATAACTGTTATTATAGGCGAACTCTACCAGGGGTAGGTGGTCATCTCAGTGCCCTTCGAAATCTAGAATACAAGTCCTAAGCATATCCTCTAGTATGCGAATAGTTCGTTATGATTGTTTATTTTTCTAGGGGCAAATTGTTGTACTAACAAACAATTTTGTTCCCATTACTTGTTGAAAACTTGTCCAAAACCTAGAGGTAAACCTGGGGTCCCTATTTGATACCACTGTCACGAGAACTTTTTGCAGTCTGACTATCTCCCGATTATAAATTCTAGCTAGCTTGTTCAAGAGACTATTATTTGGATAGCCAAGAAATGGGATGACTTAGTGAGTCAATCAACAATCATCCAAATCGCATCGTGTCCCAAATGTGTCTTAAGCAATCCTATTATAAAGTCCATAGTGATATGTTTCCATTTCTATTACGGGATTGACAGCAGCTGAAGTAACCCACCTGAGCGTTGATGTTTTGCTTTGACCTGTTGGCATATAAGGCATTTAGAGATAAAATCAACAAATTTTCTTTTCATCCCACTCCATCAAAATCGGTGCTGCATGCTTTGGTACATTTTGGTGCTTTTTGGATGCATGATAAACTTCAAACTGTGAGCATCCGTCGTGATATCTCTCTTCAACTCACTATCACTAGGGACACACAACCCTATGTGTCCTAGGCAAAAAGTCTGTTCAAGCCAAAATCCACACTTGTTCGACTTTGCTTATAGTTTCTTTTTCCTGAGAACCTGTAAGACTTGAGTCAGATATTGAGCGTGTTGCTCTCTACTCTTAGAGTAAATAAGAATATCATCAATAAAAACTATGATAAATTGATCCAAGAATGATCTGAAGATCTTGTTCATTAAATCCATAAAAATTGCAGGCGCGTTAATCAATCTGAACGGTATATAAGGAACTCATAATGCTCATACTAGGTCCTAAAGGTCATTTTAGGAATGTCTTCTACCTTAATCTTCTCCTAATGGTATCCTGAACGCAGGTCGATCTTAAAAAAAAATTGGGCACCCTGTAACTGATCAAAAATATCATCAATCCTAGGAAGGGAGTATTTATTCTTGATTGTGATCTTGTTCAGTTCTCTATAGTCTATACACAATCTCAAGGACCCATCACTTTTTCTTGCGAACATGACTCTGGTACCCCAATGGGATATACTATATCAGATGAACCCATTATCCTGTAACTCTTTGATCTGTTTTCTTGATTCTTTCATTTCGACACGACTCATTCGGTATGGGGCAACCGAGATGGGTTGGTGTCTGGCTAAAGATCTATGCCGAATTTGACTTCTCGATCTACTGGCAACCCTAGGAGTTCATCAAGGAATACATCCAGAAAGTTTCAAAGAATAGAAATATCTTAAATGTAAATCTTTTTCTTAGGCTTGCCTAATGTAGAAAAGAATAGTTAAGTTAAATGCCTTTGATAAACAATATAGTTACCAGGTATTAACAATATCTAAGATTTTATTAATTAGTGAAAGACTATTTATTAAGAATGTTGAATACAAACTTCTTTTTATAACAGTCTACAGTAGCATGATACGTTGCTAACCAATTCATCCTAGAATTACTCAAAATTTCTCGTGTCAACTGCTATCAGATCTACACTCAATTTCCTACCTGCTATATCTATGATACAAGCCTTGTATATAATATTCCCTAGTAATGTTTCGTTTTCAGGTGTATACACAAACAATACAGAATTAATACTTTTAGATGACATTTAAATTTTAAGTAAAAACATATGAAACAAAAGAATGTGAAGAACTAGTATCAATCAAAACAGGTACAAGGTGGTTGCAGATTATATGCATACCATATATCATATCTGGGTTGGCTTCACCATCCTATTGGGCGAGTGTTTAGACTTTACCTTGGACTGCGAATCTGGTTTGATTCTGATTCCTCAGGCACTCTCTCGCGTAGTGTTGAGCACTCTCACATATGCAACAAGTGTTGTTGATGGGATAATAAGATCGATCTCCATGATCCTTGTCACAGTGCTGGTAAATCTTGTCACATCCTGCTATTGGGGCCTGGGGAGGAGCCTGAGTTGTGGGCTTTGGTCTCTTATTCTGTTGGTTCAGTGCATTAGGTGTTAGCCGACAATGCGGAACTAGGGGCCTGAAATTGCCCACTGTTGACGCAAAAATATAGAGGTGCCTCTCTATTAATTGTCTTGGCAAAGATTGCTAAATAAGTGTCAAGCTCGAAGACATACAGCTATTATCTGACCTTCGGACGAAAACCTCATTCGCACCTTCTCGCATTCCTGCCTTTATCTATCATGCTCTCAGAGGAGTACCAGCCTCACTCTAGGAGTTTTTAATTATATTTTGATATAGATAAATTTCTCTGGACCAGATGTACAAACTTCATTTCTTTCACATGTTGAAGTGTTCAAGAAGTACTCAGTATTGAAAGCTACAAAAACTATTCTCGGGTGACTA